GTATAAATAGTTTCATGATAAACAAAAAAAAAATCATTATAGCAAGTATATATCGTAGTCCACAAGCAGATGCCAACATTTTTCTTCTAAACTTGGAACATTTGTTAGGAACTTTAACTAAAATCTGTGATCGTGTGATTGTCTCAGGTGATTTCAACATTAATTTGAGAGAAAACAGTAAGTCCAAGGAAAATTTATTAGATACTTTCTCCTCTTATAATTTTGTCCCTCTGATCGATTCACCAACCAGGTACTGTAGCACAACAGCGACGGTCATCGATAATTTTTTTATTAATTTTGATACTAAGTTCATCACGAGGGTTTTCACTACCGGTCTATCGGACCATGAAGGTCTCGAGCTAAAAATTTATTTTACAAAACAAGAATCAGAACCAGAAGAAAATGTTAAAATATATAGGATATTTTCCACAGAAAATATTGATTATTTTCACACTTTATTATGCAGGGAAAGTTGGGCTGAAATGTTGCAATTCACCACAATGAATGACATGTTTTTATGTTTCTTTAACACCTTTATGCATTATTTTAACCTTGCTTTTCCAGAAAAAACACAAAAAATTGATAATAGAATGAAGGAAAAAAGATGGTTTGATGAACGGGTGATGAGATTCTCGGAAGAACTTAAAAACTTGCATTGGCTTAGAAAATACATAAATAGTGAGGAAGCGAACATAAAATATACAGAAAAAAAAAAGAATATAAAATGCAAATTAAAAAAAACAAAAAAAAACTTTATGATTCAGAAATATCAAATTCTGTAAACAAAAGTAAATGTGTATGGAACATTTTAAAGAGGGAGACAGGTCGGCAAAAAAAAATGTCTGCTATTGAACTAAATAATGATGGCCAGCTTGTCACTGACGCTGGCGAGCTTTGTGAATTATTTAACAAGAATTTTTGTGAACTTCCTGCTATACACAAAATTCAAAAAAACAATTTAGAAATCCCCGTTTCAATTAAAAAATCATTTAAAATTGAGCCAGTTGATATATATGAGGTTCTAAACATAAAAAAAACATGCACTAAACAATCTGCAGGGATTGATGAAGTGCCTTGTAGCATATTAAAAAAAGTCTCTCACGAGATTTGTTTTCCACTGTGTATCCTCATAAATCAATCTTTTCAAGAAGGGCTTTTTCCGACAATACTTAAAAAAACTAGAGTAATACCCATACATAAAAAAGGCAATACTACCGATATAAATAACTATAGACCTGTAGCAGTTCCATCTGCTTTCTCGAAAATTTTTGAACGAGCTTTCTATGACAGGCTACTGAAACACTTAAGCGACAGCTCTTTTTTTAGCGACACCCAACATAGTTTCCTTAACAATAGATCCACAGAAACAGCTTTATTTAGTCACATTAATGCTATAGCGAAGGCACTGGATACTGGAAAATCTACTTTTGCAGTTTACTTTGACCTTAGCAAGGCTTTCAACATGATGGATCATGAGGGTCTTAAGAATGTCCTTAAATCAATAGGAATCCAGGAAAGGGAAATTGGGTGGGTCGATTCGTTTTTGGGTGATAGGCCACAATGTGTGGAGATCAGGGGTAGCAAGGACCATATTGTGAATTACACTTATCGCTCAAGTTTCACAACCGTGGACACAGGCGCCCCGCAAGGGTCACTTTTGTCTCCACTCTTCTTTATCATTTTTTGCAATGATTTAAACAGTGTCCTTAATGACTCTGATCTCTCACTTGCTCAGTTTGCTGATGATAAGACATGCGTAATATCAAACAAAGATGAAAAAACGGCTGTTGATCTTGCGAATTCCACTGCACTGAAAATGCAGAATTGGTGTGATGAAAAGCATTTAATTTTGAACCAAACTAAAACAAATTTTATTCATTTCCAAAATAAAAAGAAAGATAAAACTACCACAACTCTTAATATTAATGGAACAAACATACAACAAGCAGAGGAAACGAAATTCCTAGTACTCACTATAACTAGGCTCTTGAACTGGCAGAGTCACGGAAGTGAGATCTGCAAGAAAATTACATCAGCCAACTTTGCAATTTATAATGTAAGAGACATCGTTGGCAGGAGATCTGTGATTCAGTTTTATTATGCCTATGTACATTCACGCATGGCTTATGGTATCCTCTTTTGGGGCTCCCATAAGGAAACCATGCAGAGAATATTTTTTGTTCAGAAGAGAATAATCAGGACTGCATGTTGTGCCCCTTATCAGGAGCACTGTGCCCCACTGTTCCGGAGACTGGGCATAATGACAGTCTACTCGTTATATATGTACAAAATATGCTGTTTCACTTATAAAAATCAAAACCTTTTTCGAAAAAACAATGACACAAACTCAAATAAGGAAACAAGAAATAATCAGAGCCTTATTACACCATTGCATAGGACCAAATTGTATGAAGATAGTTCCTACTATGTGTGTGTTAAGATTTACAATGCAGTGCCTGGCGAGGTGAAAAGGTCAGAGGTTTACGGGAAGTTCAAAAAGAAAATAAAACAATTTTTTACACAACATCCATTCTATTCAGTAAATGAATTTTTCGACCACACAAATAAATTAAATAGATATGGATATAACTGTGCTTACTGTTGATTCTCTTCACAAATTTTAAAACTGCATGTTGAGTGTCATTTTAATGGCCTACTAAGGAAAATAATGTAAATTAGGAAAATTTGTATTCTTGTCTGTGTTTGAAAGAACTCTAGTATAGGTGTATGTATGGATATAGGTATATGTGTGTGTATGCTTATATTATATTGATTGTATTTTTATATTTTATATTTTTTAGTGACAAACTTATATTACTATGTAATCAAAAAAGGAATAAATGAATTGAATTGAATTGAATAGCCTTCAAAAAAATTGCTTAAATAACAATATTATTATAAAGTTTATCTGACTGTATCAGTTTTACGATACTTTTATCGTAGAATACATTTATAAGAAAATTAGAAATTGGACACCTTATTACTATTCTATGTTATGTTACGTTATTATAAGCTAAACGCCCTTAATACAGATATATGTTGCTAAATGACACCAAATTATATCTTTCGAAATTAGCCTTTACCTCTTTCCTGAAATTGCCACTTCTTCCTAATATTATCCAGCAAGAAATGCTTGACATATTGATAATTAGCAATGGGTACCTATATCAATTATCACTGGAATTAAAACTAGAAATGTCAAGATTTTTCTGCAGCGAAGGTAGATAAACTAAATTTTAGGTTAGTGCTATAACATTTTTATAAGGTTACCCTAATAATAATTTTGTATTTTGTGAGACACTTCTGTTATTTAACCCTTTTTTAAGTGCTTTATTCAATTTTGTTCCACAACAATTATAAAATAGTTTTATAAGAGTATTGAACGGAACTAAATTATTGCTAAGAATGAACTGTTTTATAAATTATTCTCCATAAATACTATAAAATCTTATGATAAAGCCGTAATAAATCAAAATGCATACTTTTATAAGTGATATATATCTGTTTGTGAATATTACTATAAAGCAACTACAAAATATATCTATCTCAAACAAAAACAGTTTTATAAGTCTTGTCATATAAATATTTATGAGCAAGTTAATTACCAAACTTATAAAATTGTTATTTAAATTAATCTTGAAAATATCTATATAGCAAAATAACAAAATAAATTTGTTTTCATGATACATTTGTATTTATCGAGTCTCTTAAAAATCAGTTTTGTTACTTCAAATGCTCTAACAAATCGGATATAAAGCACTTCAGTCTATTAACAATATTTCTGTGCTACTTGGGTTGGCAACCGGGATAAACGACCATAACTTACACTTTGAAAATATTTTTGTTTATGCGGTCTTGCCGCTTCTACTCTAAACCAGTGGCAACATCGCTATTTTGAATAAAACACCCTGTATGTAATTTCATATTTGGATTCTACGTAAAATTCTGAGCAGATTTCATGTGATATACCCTAAGTATACCTAAGTTCAAATGTTTTGGAAATATTAACAGTTAAAAATTGACTTTTTACAACTTTGACAGAATGTAAAACCTAAACGGTTAGTTTGAGAGGAAAATCGATTTCTTATTCCTATCTTAGATTTTTATAAATTATCATTTGACACCAACTGTGAATTTAATCCATGATTCCAATGAAATTTAATCTCCGGTTAAATTCAAAGTTGGTATCAAATGATAGTTTATGAAAATCTAAGATAGGAATGTAAACTCGGATTTCCTCTAAAATTAACCGTTCAGGTTTTACAGCCTGTCAAAGTTGCAAAAAGTCAATTTTCAACTGTCAATATTTTCAAAACAGTTGAACTTAGGTATAGGGTATATCACATAAAATCTGCTCAGAATTTTACGTAGAATCCAAATATGCAATCACATACGGGGTGTTCCATCTAAAATAGCAATGTTGCCACTGGCTTAGAGTGGAATTTTCAAAATGATCCGCTTTTTAGTTTTCCATAAACGTCTAATACGCCATCCACCGTGGGACACCCTGTATGTACATCATAAGCGCAACTAGGCTCCAAATTTGAGGGGTGCTGCGGCAATTTTTTTTTAATTTTTTTTTTAATGTGGTTTGATGGAAAGGAAATGAGACGTGTAAAAAAAGTTAATTTCACGAGGGTTTGTACTTACGTCATCATTTGCCTTTTTTTTGAAAAATAGATTTTTCTATGTCTGAAATTTTAAACAAACATATAGTTCGTTGCACGGCACGAAGGTTTTTACTTACGTCAGTGATTTTTCACTAGAAAATTTTGAAATTTTCCTCTAATGAGCTTCTCACTTTCCTCTTTCTCCTGTAAAAATTTCAAAATTTTCCCGTTGCCAGTTTTCCAGAAAAAAATTAAAATGTAAAAGGGGAAATTTTTCCTTAATTTTGCTTAAATAAGTGAATTTTTCAGAATTTTTTATGGAGTGATTTCTTATTCGAAAATTTTAAAATTTTGCTATAATGAGCTCTTTATTTGCCTCTTTTTTTCTGGAAAATTTTCACAATTTTCCTTTTGTCAGTTTCCCAGAAAAAAAGTCAATTTCCCAATTTTCCTGGAATGATCTTCCACTGGAAAACTTTGAAATTTTCCTATAATGAGCTCCTCACTTTCCTTTTTTCTTTTGGAAAAATTTTACAATTTTTGCTTTGCCAGTTTTCCAGAACAAAATTGAAATGTGAAATGATGAATTTTGCTTTAAAAAGTCAATTTTCTAGAACTTTCCTCTCGATTTTACTTGGAGTGATTTTTTAATAGAAAATTTTGAAATTTTCCTATAACGAGCTCCTCATTTTCTTTTTTCTCCTGGAAAAACACCAGTTTTGCTTTATTAGTTTTCCAAAAATAAATTAAAATGTGGGAGGATGAGTTTTTCTTAATTTTACTTGAAAAAGTCATTTTTCCACAATTTTCCCTGGAGTGATTTCTCTCTGGAAAATTTCGAAATTTCCCTATAATGAGCTCCTCACTTTCTCCTTTTTCTTGGAAAATTTTCAAAATTTTCCCTCTGCCAGGTTTCCAGAAAAAAATTAAAATGTAACTGGTGAATTTTTCTTAATTTTGCTTAAATAAGTCAATTTTCCAGAATTTTTTATGGAATGATTTTTCATTGGAAAATTTCAAAATTTTGTTATAATGTGCTCTTTTCTGGAAAATTTTCACAATTTTCTTTTTGCCAGTTTCCTAGAAAAAAAATTAAAATGTAAGAGGTGAATTTTGCCTAAAAAAGTCAATTTCCTAGAATTTTTCCTGGAGTTATTTTTCACTTTAAAATTTTCCTATAATGAGCTCCTCACTTTTCTCTTTCTTGTGGAAAAATTTCACAATTTTCCCTTTGCCAGATTTCTAGAAAAAAATTAAAATGTAAGAGGATGAATTCTCCTTAATTTTGCTTAAAAAAGTTAGTTTTTCACAATTTTTCCTGGAGTGATTTTTCACTGGAAAATTTTGAAATTTTCGTAAAATAGGCTCCTCATTTTCTTCTTATTCCTGGAAAATTTCTTTGCCAGTTTTGCAGGAAAAAAATAAAATGTAAGAGGGTGAATTTTCTTTAATTTTATTTGAAAAAGTCAATTTTTCACAATTTTTCCTGGAGTGATTTCTCACTGGAAAATTTCGAAATTTCCCTTTAATGAGCTTCTCACTTTCCTCTTTTTCATGGAAAATTTTCAAAATTTTCTCTGCAAGGTTTCCAGAAAAAAACTAAAATGTAAGAGGGTGAATTTTCCTTAATTTTGCTTAAGTAAGTCAATTTTTCAGAATTTTTTATGGAGTGATTTTTCATTTGAAAATTTTAAAATTTTGCTATAATGGGCTCTTTATTTTCCTCTTTTTTCTGGAAAATTTTCACAATTTTCCTTTTGCCAGTTTCCCGGAAAAAAATTAAAATGTAAGAGGGTGAATTCTCCTCAATTTTGCTTAAAAAAGTTAGTTTTTCAAAATTTTTCCCAGAGTGATTTTTCACTGGAAAATTTTGAAATTTTCGTAAAATGAGCTCCTCATTTTCCTCTTATTGCTGGAAAATGTTCAAAATTTTCCCTTTGCCAGTTTGCCAGAAAAAAATTGAAATGTGAAAGGATGAATTTTGCTTTAAAAAGTCAATTTTCCAGAATTTTCCTCTCGACTTTCCTTGGAGTCATTTTTAACTAGAAAATTTTGAAATTTTCCTATAATGAGCTCCTCATTTTCTTCTTTCACAAGTTTTGCTTTATTAGTTTTCCAGAAATAAATTGAAATGTGAGAGGATGAGTTTTTCTTAATTTTACTTGAAAAAGTCAATTTTCTAGAATTTTTCTTGGAGTGATTTTTTACTGGAAAATTTCGAAATTTCCCTATAGTGAGCTCCTCACTTTCCTCTTTGTTTTGGAAAATTTTCCAATAATTTTTTAAGGGCTGGTATTTCAATGTCACCTTAAGATATAGAATAAACATAGACATTGACAACATTGTCTGACCTTGTTCGATGACGTCATCCTAAATATAACATAAAAACCGTATATTTTAGGGTAAGTCTTGATTTCAAGGTAATATTGTAATACCGGCTCCGGTTGAACAATTTTATTTCATAAGAATAATAATTGCGAACGTGCTTTATGAGCCAATTTTAAGCGAATAACCAAACGAGATTGGTTTTTACCATTTCGGATTGGTATTTACCACAACATTTATGCGACTTTGGTTTTTCTTTTGGTTATGACTCCGTGACGTCATGGATCAGCTGTAAAATGTCATACTTATCACCGCAAAATTGCGGTTTTAACCCAGCTCGGGAGTGGTTTTTATTTTGCGGTTATTATTTGAATTGTTGACATTGCATTTTTGGCGGGTTTTTAGCAAGTTGTTTATTTTTTTTAGCAGTTTGTTTGGTATTATGAAGTAAAAAAAGGGCCAGAAATTATGGATACTTCCCTAAGCAAAAGTCATGAAGGTGCGGATTACCAAATACAGGTTGGAGACTGGAGACTGGGTCGGTATTTCAATGTCACGTTAAAATAACGTTAAGTCATCTTTAATACAAGTTTCACCGTATATCAAAGTATAAAAGTTCCCCTAATTCAAGGTGGATCTTAAGCTTATCTTAAGTTACCTGAATGAACTGATTTCAAGTTCACCTTAACGTTAAGGATACCTTTGGTAAATCTTGATTTTAAGATTACATTTGAAATACCGGCTTTTAGAAACAGCTAATTTACTCTTAATAGCAAGTATTATCTGTTTCAATTGATTTTCGGTCTCATGTCTTTCCTTTTTTTAAAAAAAATGCAACAAATTGGTAGATTTCCTAACAAATCAATTATTTCCGCACTGTCTTCAAAAAAAACACATCTCCAAATAAAAAGGCAAGTTCTCTCCTCTTTTCCATTTTCCGGCCAGCATGAAATCAAAATTCAAAATTGAATTAATCAACGACAAATACTTTTTTATAAAATATGACGTCATCGATGACGTAAGTAAGTACAAGAAGTGCAAAAAAAATAAATAATTTGGTTGCACTAATTTTTTATATTAGTGTTAGGTAGTGTCATTGTATTGTTCGTCGATTTTTAACTGATACTTGCGGTATGAAAAGCGAGGGGGTGTTTCATATGGCAAAAACAGGTGTGACATCAGTTAACCATTGGCGTTCTAATGTAGGGAGCCACCAGCTCACATTCCGTCCGAGTATCAGATTAAAATCGACGAACAATAGGTAGTGCTATGGTGGGATACCGAATAAGAGTGCTAATTTTTGCTTTAGAGGTGCTTAGCACCCCCCTAGTTGCGCCTATGATGTACATATACAGGGTGTCCTTATAATAAACTGACACATTTTGCAGGTTAATATCTCGAAAACGGGAAAAGGTAACGAGATGCGGTTTGTTCTGGGAGCATAAGGATTTTTTAAAGTTTTTTTTCACATTATTGCCGAATCCTAAAATTTGCTGAAATATGTTTTTACAGACATGCGATTTTTTGAAATAAAATGACTGCCTTATTTTCAATGAAACACCCTGTATATTTTTTCATCGTCAGAAAGCCTGATTTTTCTACTTTACAAAAATGTCATTTTTTTTAAATTATCTTGAACTTGCATAGTGAAAATTGCACTTTGTCGAAGAAAATACCATTGACTGGCCAAAACAAAATTGGTAATTCATTTTTGTTTAATACTTTTATTAACTAATCAGCGCATAGTTAACTAATAATACAAGTATTTAACACTAATTAATTAATAATGCAAGTGCATATTAAACACAAATTGATTATTATCTTTTTTTTTTGGCCAGCAGATGGTACACTTTTAACAAAGTGCAATTTTTACAATTCAATTCCAAGATAATTGAAAAAAATTATACGTTTTTTTAAAGTAGACAAGTCACCCTTTCTGACGATGACAAAATATACCGGATTTTTATCAAGAATGAGTCAGTAGGTAATTATTTTAAAAAATCGAATGTCTGTAAAACCAAATTTCAGGATTCGGCAATACTTTGAAAAATCCTTATTCTCCCAGAACAAACCGCATTCCGTTACCTTTTCTCGTTTTCGAGATATTTACCTGGAAAATGTGTCAGTTTATCTAAGGACACCCTGTATTATGACCAATATGATTAGAGCTAAATCTGCAGTGTTGCCAAATATTAGTACTTAAAAGTACTTGGAATATATGTAGTATAGGTATACATTTATAAAGTCATATAAGTAGATACATATACAATATATGACAAAAGAGTATATAATCTTTTGATGGGAGAGTTGGAGCATTTCAGAGTATGTAGATAGCTGGTATTATCAGGTACGAGTCAATAGTACGTTGTCGGATAAACATCGAGTTAGTAATGGCGTTGTACAGGGGTCTGTAATAGGACCATTGCTTTTTACATCATAACTTTTTGATCTTGTCGATCTCATAGAAACATCAATGAAGAAGTTTGCAGATGATAAGAAACTTTATGCCAACTTTACATGCACCGCAGCTTCATTAAAACCTGCAAATTGTTGAGGAGTGGTTAACCGCCTGAGAAGGTCAATTACATGATTACATATTCACAATAATTTGTGCAATATACATATATTAGGTTCATAAACTTTCATAAAAAATGTTTTCTCAACTATCTCTACTAACATCTCATCATTATCAACATAACTTCGACTCTTCTTTTTTTTTTCTCTCAAATATGACTTAACGCAATCTTTATGAGAAATTGTATTACTTCAAAGTATATTTAGCCTCATTTATTATATTTACTAATAATGTATTCTTTCATTCAGGTACAAGTATCGGCTTTAAGAATATTGCTAGCAAAATAGCAAACGAGCTGAAGCTGTGACTGGTCGTCAAGGAGACGGACCTACCGATCAGTGAAGAAAACGAAAGCCCGCCGACGACATAAATCAAAAATGTTTCAGTCAGTGCGAGAATCGAGTGAAGTAAGTTTCTGTCTCCCAAAAATAACAACAACAACAACTTTTTTCGAATAAATGCTCTAAAAAAAAAAAGAAACGTATAGGTGATAAGTTTAAAAACGTTATTTCAAAACTCTGAACTCTTAATTCAAGCTTGTGATACACATAATAATGGGAATTGAACAGGATATAATACATAGTGCGAGAGAGGAATTTTTTTTAAAAACACACGAGAGATCTCCATTTTTGTTTTGTTTTCTGCTGGTGTACTATGTAACGGATAGAGATTGTTATATCTATCTCTATGACATTTGCTGTCTTTTTTTCTCTTTCCGAAATTAATAGAGATAGAGAAAATAATGTCTCTATTTGTGACATAGTCCTGGTACTGATTTCTTTTGGATTTAATTATTTATGTAGTATTATTGTTATTGATTAAAACTTTTTTTAGTTGAATTGGGCTATAATATTTATTGTATTTATTTAACAGTATATCATTGAATAATTATCTCTATTTCAAATTCATTATAATCATCACCCGATATACTGGTCATAGAAGTCTGCGTCAAGAGTAAAGAGTACGGTGACGTCAAATGCACACAAACCCAATTTTGAAGACTAATCGAACTATCGTATTGATGGGTGATGCTGCCGAACGCCAAGCACATGGTTCATTGTCGTACGGCCAGCAGAAATATTTATTTAGTTTATTTTCTATTCAAATTTTTTCTAAAAAGATACCCCGCTGTTGGTTTCAGCTCGCGGCCGAGGTCATGGCAGACGAGGGAGAGAGATCCGATCCGCGTGTCGTCACTGTACTCTTTACTGCTGACGCGGACTCTACATAGTAACCCATTTTATATGACTTTTAACTTTTTTATTTTCAAAAAAACAAATTCCACACGTCAATTTTCATCCCCCCAAAGAGTGGACCTACAACTAAAGTACTTTATACAATGATACTTAGTGAAAAGAGTACATTTTGTTTGAACCATAGGGGGCGCAAGCAACAAAAATGGCGCGTCCTACTTTAAATGTAAATATTGTGTGATAGTAGTGCGTGTACGGTTATTGAATAAATTCATTAGTATATAATAAACCTCTTGAGCATGTTAAAAAGTAGACAATTTTTTTGTTTGTTTTTTGAGGTTTTTGGGTTGGTATTGGACAGCTCGGATATATTAGTTGACCTCCAAAATGTCCAGACCTGACATCATTAGTCCAAGTCAAATATGTTTGCTGTCCAATAGGTACCAACCTTAACTGGTATCTTGTTATCTACTGGATGGATTCCCAATTAAAAAAAAAACAAAAACTGAGATATATTTTTTATTTATTTTTTATTGATAATCCACCTATACTCTGTCCAACCAACTTACGAAGTGACAAACAACAAACCCTTCAAAAATGTTGGTCATTTATCAGCCCGCTGTACACTGTAGAGTGACGTTTTGTAAGATTTTGAAATAAATAAATGGCATAATTCAGTGTTCAGTGTAAACCTGGCCGCCAATCTGACTTTGTCATACTCCGTAGGTTCGTTGGACAGAGTGTAGATAATAATAAATGCATTTTTTTTGTTATTACAATTATTTCATGAATCCGTTGGATCTGTATTATAGTAGGCTGGACATAAAGGCCTCAATAATGAATAATACATTATTTCCGGTCTTGTGTATATGGAACATCCAATGAGTGTACTTATTTTCGCCCACATAACAAATAGGCTATCCTCACTGTTTCCCAAGCCCCCCCTTCGACTAACTTATAAGTAGATAGTGACTCATTTATTTAGTATTTTGTTGTATATATATATTTTTTTTAATGTATTATATTTAAATCATGGAATAATTAATTATTAAGCTGGAAATAGTGAGTTTAGTCCCATAGAATAGTAGATGAAATACAATAAAAAGTATATTTAATTGTTAGTACAGCCTTAGATTATAGAGACCGCTGTAAAGAGCAATGTTGCTTTCCATTTTAAACAAAAAAAAAAAAATAATTAAACAAAATAAAAAATCATTTCTTTCACTGGGGATGGGCACTTCTTATGTTAGTTAAGCTGAACAATTTATAATAAATAAATGTAAAACCGAATTTTTTGTGTGTTTTATTTATGCTAATAATCCTAGAATTCTAATCAAAATAATCAATTGTGTAAAGGTTCATTTACATCAACTTAAAAGGAATGTTACCTCGCCTCACTCTGCTGAATTTCTGTCGAAAGATATCAGTGTTTTAGAGTTTGCAACAAACTTAGATGTGACGTCAGTACCGCGTGGCGTCTCCCACCCCAACAGATTCTGCTTCAAAACCAAAAGCTACGTTTCACCTATTTGAGTCAACCTGTATTTAAGTGAGAGTCTCAGGATTTTATTAGTCAAGAGTCTATGGTATCCAAGAGATTGTGACGTCACGCTTTCACAGTTGTTTTGCGAATATCTCAAAAACCGTTGGGCATAAAAAAATGGTGGGGGCTTCTCTCACAGTCTCGTATTTCAGAAAAGTATGACAGTGCGTATTCAAAATTTATAGGGAGGGTGGTAAACGCTGGCCGCCCAAAAAGGAAATATTAGGGTCAGTTTCTCAATATTAGCTCTCGTGTTGGTTTTAACTACAGGGTAAATGTATCCAGTTGCAATATTTACCCTGAAGTTATTCTATTGAGAAACTGGCCATTAGTAGAATTTGGTTAATCCTCTTTTAGCTGAAAAATGACAACCCATTGACCACATCTGACCAGTTTTGAAGCTTCAAATGAAAAATCACCTGCGCATCTGTCACCAATATCATATATTAGATTGACCTTTTCAATTTAAAAGCCTCTCTCTCTGGCATCAAACTGTCAGACGCCAAAAGAGTATGAAAACAATGGTTGACAGTGGTTTGTAGACAAGACTTTTGAAAGAAACTATTATTTCCTCAAGTTTTTTCCTAATAATGGTGATTGTGTGTAGTGTGCCTATCCATAAAAATAATTCCTATTTAATCCTATTCACCGGCGGACGTGTTTTTCCATAAGTTTCCATCAAATCCTATTTGTCAAAACTTGGATACACAAAAGCAGGAAGAGGATACTCGCAAAAAAAAAAACTTGGCAACATTGCGAATACCACCATTGAATCAGGCATTCCCAAAAACCCAGGAAATATTGTACATTTTTCTTAAGCGCGTTCTGAAAAATATTAGGCTGTTTTCATAAATAACGACAACCCTGTATTTTTCACGCAGATAATGGAATTCAACTGATAGCGAATTCTAATGCTACCTAGAACCAGTGCAGAAAAAATGTATTTTTATCTCTTTCCTATACAAACTGGTAGAAAAAGACACGAATACATTCAGTGCGCACTAGCCCTTCCAATAGAATTCTCTATGAAAATGTACAATATATCTTGTGCAAGATATCAGTCATTATTAAATAAAAAAATAAATAAGCACGTTATTGAGAACGCCTTCTCATTGGCTAAGGACCCATTTATTAACTTTCTGATAAACTATTAGATATGCAATCTGACTGACAAAAACCCAATTTGTATCGATCAATAAAATTATCGAACGGTAAATTTATCTTGCAGATAGTTACCAGTAAGTTTATCTAAAGATAAAAAAACCGGGGTCAAAGCCGATATTCAGGCACTTGTTGCCAAATTCCCATTCAACCAACTCTTAGCATAGATGTCACATCTTTTCTTATTAGAACAAATGGAATATACATACCTACATGCATTTTATGTCAAATTTAATGTGTGTGTGTGTGTGTGTATAAATCTTAAACTAATATTTTTTTTTCAAGATTTTTTTAGATTTCAAGAAAGTTTTGGCAACATGGAGGCAACTGTACTAAGTAACAAGAGTTCACCGCTTATACCTATTCATTTTTTTAGGTTCTATAGAATTTTTACGTTATATTTAGAATGACGTCACATTTAGTAAACTTTTGCTGCCAACCTAACAAAGTTAAAAGTACTTTTCAACATATTCAAATTAGCGGAATTCAAGATGTTTTTGGTTGGCATAGGAGCGCGACGTTGCACAACTTGTATAAACATTTTCATTTCGTTATTTCAAGTTGTCATCAGAATTATTGTCACATTATGACATTCTGGTAAATTATAAGAAAAAAAATAAACATTGACAACATTGTCTGTCCTTGTTCGATGACGTCATCCTAAATATAACATAAAAAACTTATAGATACTAGACTGCGCTGTGAAATCAAGAATTCTATTTTTAGTACATTTATCGAATATCTCTGTCTTTGTCTAATTGGTAATAAAAGATAAAGATACAACATAGCCCGACGTAATTATGCAATTCGAATCAGCTTATAATTCAAGATGGCGACGTGGGCATAACAAACTTGACAACCGTAAAGATGCCTTTCCATTCAATTCCAATTGATTGCGATTTTAATGAGAATCAAGTGCCTTTACAATTGTCAAGTGTCCTATTCCCACGGCGCCATATTGAATCCAGAGAACGTCAAATCGCCTGTGAAGGTTTCCTTGACGAAATACAAACACAAAAAATATTACGAGTTTGGTTTCGTTTCGACGAATCCTCATGAGCTAGACAAAGATAGACATATCGATTCACGTCAGACAAAGACTAAAATTAAGTAAAAAATGTACTTAGTTTCCGCTTTGTAGTACAATACTTTAATTCGACGAAGTCATGTTATAGTATGATTTACTGATGAGAAATTTGGCATCCTCGTTTTTTTGGGACTCTGACGTCATAATCCTTGCCCGCGTTTGCGCAGAGGTTCAGGGCCGCAACTAGAACCCTCGGCGCCCAAGGCAAGTCCAAATTTTGGCGCCCCTCCACCGCCTTCTCAAAAGAAACAATAGATATATTTTTTGATGCTTTGGTTTTTGCTTGAAATGTTTCGAATACATTTTCGAAATATATAATTTAGACACATTAAATCCAAAATATTTACGTACTAGCTAGTAGGTACTAAGTATTGAAAAAACACACTCATCTTCGCTGATGCTACATAATAAATCCAAAAGTGCAACAGCTTTTTCTTTGGAAATATTAGCAGAATGTTTTCAAATTTTTATGTACGATACATGTAAACAAAAACAAAACAAATTGCACTGGCTCTCCACGAGCGCAATGGCATACATGATTGCACTGGATTTCAAATGGAGAATAAAAACTGTTAATGTGCAGTTAAATGGAATGTAAAAATTGCCCTGAGTGCACCTCCGTGCAATAAATGGAAAACGCCATTATTTTATCGTGAACAGCGTTGCCAGACTCTAAATATGGAAGTGTGGTACACAATGCTCAAAAACTGTCGTACAGGGACGTACGCACCACGAATTCTTGTGGTACACATTACCTTACATAAAGTCTGTGTTTTATTTAAAGATAATTCCCCAAGTCAAAAATGTAGTAACTATGTTGGCAACACAAGCCTTTTCTACATAAAAAATTTGAAAGCATTGACAATTTTACATTGAATTGCCAACATAATGTCATTTTGACTTTTATCTTTAAAAAAAAAAAACAGACTTTAATACATTTTTAGTATACATTTACTAGAAAAAAATATGATTTTTTTGAGAGCGCAAAGGGTTGGAAACTTGAAAATAGCCCTTGCATTGAAAATTACAGCAATAGGAGTAAAGGAAAATCAAATAGAACTATTTATTAAATTTATTAAGGTACTTTGTGGGTATTTAGTCAAATTGAAATATAGCTATTTATACAATAAGTTACGAAATGAGCGTCTTTTAGGCACGCGCCGTGAAAATTGTCCAACGAGGTAGGGATAACAAACTATCGGTATGAATATCGATACTATCGATATTTTTTTCATTTTCGATAGTATCCATAGACCTGTACCACTATCGATAGTTCCAAATGGCCGGTTTCTCAATAGCGAGTCACCTCCGAGTTGGTTTTAACTTCAGGGTAAGCGAGCCCAGTTGCAATAATTGCATTCCTTTCACACCTAGGAGGAACTCTGGAATAGCTCCGTAGCGTTATGCGCTTATTCCTTTCGAAAAATGTTGCACCACGTATTTCTTCCTTTCAAATCGGAGTCGAATAACACCGGAGCGAGTAGCTCGAGTGTTCCAAACTCTTGAGGGCCGTTTTCTCAATCAATAGCGAGTGAATATAAAGAAATCTGTAGCTGTTTTGAGAAATCTGTAATTATTTTTTGGGGGAAGACATGCTGTGCTGCCAATTTTTAATTTTTAGGTTAACAGGAATGGCGAGCAATGTGACGAGTGACTTTCATGGACTTGATAGGGGTTGGAGGTTAATGTTTATTTAAGGTTATGATGTTATTGTTGTCATTTGATAAATTTATTTCGTAATTAATTAGAAATTTGGTTACTTTGGTCAGGGCAAACTATCGATAGTACAATCGATAGTTACTATCGATAGATAAGCCATTCTATCGATATCACTATCGATAGTTTTTTTTCGATAGTTTGTCAACCCTACAACGAGGCAAAGCCGAGTTAGACAACACGTCGAGTGACTAAAAGACATCGTTTCGTAACGTATTGTATACAAGATTTTTTCTACTGGCATTTTATAATAAAAAAACACAATTTTATTTCATGTGAATAAGTCGATTACACCCAAAATCTTTGTTACCTGCTTTTACTTGACACCTGACACTTTTCATGCGATTTTCTTTTCAAAATTCGACATCAATAATTAAAATCCTAGAAAGTAGGTAATAACACAAAGTTCTGTTTTGAGTAACCCAAACGTTCAATTCAGTAATTCCATTTTCAATATTCATAATAAATACAAAACAAAATTCAAATATGTGTTTAGTGTGTTTTTTATTTCTGAATAATGAATGACACTTTTAGGCACTAGTGCTTAAATAGTACATTAAAATACAAGTTTCATAAGACGTCATTTTATCGCACGAGCCCTATATTAGAAAACGAGCCGGAGGCGAGTTTTCTAAAGGGCGAGTGCGATAAAATGTCTTATGAAACGA